GCACTCGACGGCTGCGGACGACCAGCTCGACGACATCCCGCACCCCCTTGGCCCGCCACCACCAAGCCCATTGAGATGGTCTCTTTTACCAACGAGCATCCGTTCAACCTGCGCAAGCGCGGCCCCGAGCCGGTCTGCAACGAGTGCGCTCGCTTCCACCCGAACGCGCTCACGTCGGCGATCAACACGGTGCTGTTGCCAGGCACGTACCAGTGTACGCTCTGCCGCGACTGGACCTACTACCGTCGCCACCGCAAGCGCAAGCGCACCCGCGCCGACGCCCGCCTCGATGCTCCTTCGGCGTGAGCTTTTCATTTTGTTCATATTTTGTTTAATCCAGTGTCGATGTTGTATTTGAACCATTATTGTCCATTGCGTCACTTGCACAAAACAGACGTCTCGTTGTCTTGATCTTGGACGTGCCAGTTTACTCATTGGACACATGCCAGAGGCTGGAAAAGAGACTCTCGCGGGGTGCTTTTGGAGCGCTGCTGGTGTGTCCCACTCGGCGACGCGGCCCTTGTCCAGGACGAGAATGCGGTCGCAGCCCAAGACGACGTGGATGCGATGGGCAATCGCCAACGTCGTACAGCTCTTGAACGCATCGCACTTGCTGTAGTGGATGCATCTGTCCGTGTGGGGGTCCATCGACCACGTCGCGTCGTCCAAGACAAGCACCTTGGCCGTCGTCCAGAGCGCTCTCGCAAAGCAGCTGCCGCTCGCCGACGCTCCAGCTGGTGGCGCGCTCGTCGATCGATTCGTCCAGTGAGGGGATTGCGAGAGATGCACGCGTCCGAGAGCTGTCCAGAGCGCCGTGTCGTCAAAGCGCCCCCATCGGTCGAGATTGGAGCGCACCATGCCAGAGAAAAGCACCGGGTCTTGTGGAATGACAGTAATCGTTTTGCGGAGCTCGTGGAGACGAAGGGTCGCCACATCGATACCGTCCAGCAACATGCGGCAGCGTGACGAGGCGTATCAAGGCAACCACGAGGCTCGACTTGCCGGCGCCCGTGCGGCCGACGAAACCCATCTTTTCCGCGGCGTGGATGGTCAAGCAGAGGTCGTGGTGGACGCATGCAAGGCCCGGGCGGAGTGCAGATGGACGCTCTCAAAGTCAAGGTGGTCTGCGGCCACTGTGGCTGGGTCGTTGCTGTCGACGTTGTCTTGATTGTCGAGTGCGGCATTGGCATCGAGGCGCTCGACGGAAACACTCATGTGCAGTTGAAGCTCCATGTACGTTGGCACGAGCCAATGGATTGGGATCGATGGGCAGTACGAGAGCGCGACGCCGGCCTGCAAACGCCGGAACCTCGTTAGGTGTTGCGAGCACTGCGAGCAAGGTGGCGAGAGAGGCAAAGAGTGTTCCGATGACTCACTCATCCCAGCTCGTCGTACTGACGCTGAGAAAGTGCGCGCGCTGGTTGCGGTCCACAAGGCGCGCGTGCGACGCACGCCAGATGTCTTCAATGTGGTATGCGCGCATCGACACGAAACCGTCGAGCGTTTCATCAAAAACGCATGGAGGCGTGTCGAGGCGCTGGAGCGCACAGCTCGGCCCGACGTAAACGCGCTGCACGACCCCATAGGCGTATACGAGTGGAAGGACACCAAGACCAAAACCATAGCGATCATCAGCATATAATACGGTCGTGCCGACGACGTTGTGAATGCTCTTTGGAAGCTGCTCGTCGAGAACGTAGACGTCTTTCGAGAGACAGTTGAGAATGCGGCCGAGCGGCGTCGTGTCAAAAAAGGTCCTTGGGGCGTGGACAAGACCGTTGCAAACGTCCTGCGCGCCGCCGAAATGCCCGCACGGACAAGTGCGACGTTCCGAACGAGGTACGCGATGCTCGATACAATGTGGAGACTGACGTAGACGCGCATGATATTCGTCAGCACCCACGTCGTCGGGACGAGCAGGCAGAGAACGCCGACGCCGCCAAAGAACGCAAGACCGAGCTCGTTGCACATGAAGACGCACGTGACGGCGATCTGCAGAAAAGCGTGTACCAAAGGCTGTGCGCCGCATTCACCAGCCATTGAAGCCGTGCCGCATCAACGCGAATGAGCGTCGCCTATCGATGCTGTGGACGCGAGGTGAAGCGTCTTGTCGTACACCGCCATGACGACGGCTGACCGGAGCCGCAGCCCGCCCTTGTAGCAGCCAAAATAGTTGTGCCGAAGCGCCAGCGATTCCAGACTGCCCGAGGTCAACACGGCGAGCGTGTAATGCAAGCCAATGGAGAGCGACTTTGATGGCGCGCCGAGGTATATAACGAGGTGCTTTACCAAGAGGGGCCTGATGAACTGGAGCGCGAGATAGACGACCTTGAGGACACCCGCAAGAACGATTGGCCGCGCGTACCCACGGGCAAACGCGCGATAGAGTTTGGATGACGACTGCTCACGCGTCCACTGCGTATAGAAGATACTGGCGGCGGTCGGCGGGGTTGAGGCGGACGAGGTCGTCCAACTCGAGCGGCCGAGCATTCGCAAGGGTGAGCAGCGGTGGGAGCCACGAGAAGAAGACGGTGCTCCATAGCCCGTTGCTTTCGGCGGGGCAAACGTCGCTCAGCGACGCAGGGTTCAGCAGGCGTCGGTGCACCGAGGATCCCATGCGTTTTCAAGAGTGGCCATGACAGTGCACTTTCCTGTACATCGACGGGCGGCTTTTCGACGAGCGTTGCAAACTGCTGATCCTTTTTTTGGCGGGCGAACACATTTCAACGACATTCTATGGACCACTGGTATAGGCCACGACTGTACCTCTCGTGCATACCGGTCTGGTACGCCTTTGAGTCATTAACCCTCCCACGCCGGGTAAGTCTTGTGTGAGATCCCGCATAACATTTTGACGGCGAAATATAAAAGGGGGTGGTGCGCCTTCTCATTGCAAGTGCGACGTGCGGGCTCGCACGTGGCAGCGCTGACGACGAAAGTGATCATTGGCGCGCCGCCCGGCTCGAACGCGTCGGCGTACGTTCTCAACGGTCTCCGAGACGCTTTGACGCGCCGTAAGAATTGTAGTCGATGAACGAGGAGTTGGATTCAAAGATGAAATTATGTTGTCGATGGATGAGGTGACACCGTCATTAGCTATTGAGGAACCTAGGCGTGGAAGTGCACGCCCGCAACTTATTTGTACGCAGTGACGCATGGATGCCTGTGCTACCCGACCCCTTGACCGAGTCGACGACGTTGGAACTTGTGTGTCTCTTGGGACGCAGCGAGGTGCAACTTGTCATTCAATTCAATCGAGTTTTTACCAACATGCTTGGCAAGACGAGAGAGGGCTGCACCTCTGGAGGCAGCGATGTGGTGGTCCTAAGCAGTCGATCTGGTGACCCTTGCGAGCGAAGAGGATGAGAAAACATCGTAGGGTTGCGGTGCAGTGTGCACCAATAGCACTCGATCAAACAGCGTGGGGAGACCGACAGTTGACAAATCTCTAGCCGGGTGAAATGTGCGCACCGCGACTGGGGAGCATCGATCGCACCGTTGGTCGTGTCCGGATTATGAACGCGCCACCGCCTGCCAGCTCACAATCATCCGGATACTGAGATAGAATCCAACGGGCTCATGGGCTGGTGCCATGGCTCGAGGTGTCATTTTTCAACACGCCACAATGGCCACAAGCACGTCGGACAGCGAGAAGAAGGCGCGCAAGCGAGCCGCCGACAAGAAGTACAAGGCGGCCAACAAGGAAAAGGTGCGAGCCGCCAGCAACAAGTACAGAGCAGCAAACAAGGAAAAGGTGCGAGCCACCAAAAAGGCGTACAACGCTGCACACGCCGAGACGATTGCAGCGCAGCGCAAGGCCCGCTACGACAAGAACCGCGCTCATGTATTGATGCGGTCCAAAACCTACCGGCAAACGCACAAGGAGGCCGTCAAGGCGACCAAAAAGTCGTGGCACGTGGCGAACCGGGCGTTCAGGGCGGCGTACAACCGAGCTTAGTACGATTTCCCTGCCTCCAAACCGATTCACGTTCTCGTTTCCTAGTCGGGCGCGGAAGAAGGCGCTTGCTGCCGGCCAAGAGCCCCCGCCGCTGCCCACGCTGGCCGACTTTCGTGCGGCACAAGAGGACGCGGACCAAGTCGTTGCATCGACGGCTGCGGACGACCAGCTCGACGACATCCCGCACCCCTTGGCCGCCACCACCAAGCCCATTGAGATGGTCTCTTTTACCAACGAGCATCCGTTCAACCTGCGCAAGCGCGGCCCCGAGCCGGTCTGCAACGAGTGCGCTCGCTTCCACCCGAACGCGCTCACGTCGGCGACCAACACGGTGCTGTTGCCAGGAACGTACCAGTGTACGCTCTGCCGCGACTGGACCTACTACCGT